CCAAAGGTGCCTCAGATGACAAGCTTGGTGATCTACTTCTGAAAGGTCACAGCCTTGAATACCCTATGGAGCACAGTTCTACTTGGACACCTGTGGAATTGCACTGAGTCTGCATCTATTTAGCAACTAACAACACCACCACATCTCAAAGAGTTAATTAAATTACAAAAGAAAAGGAAGAGCCCTGACTGAGAACATTTCCTACACAGCAGGTAAATCATTTACTCCTATTAAAAAAAGGAGAGGAAAGTACAGTGAGATAACTTTTTTCTTTTTTTAATCTCTCAAATCAGTGAAAATTAAAAAATATGACAGCACACTCTTTTGGCAAGCTGTGGGGAAACAGGCACTCACATTGCCTGTGGGAATGAAATTAAAACAGCCCTTTTGGGAGGGAATTTAGAAATTTTTAACAAAGCTACATATACACTTTTTTTTTCCTTTTGTTGTGGTGAAAACATACACAACAAGACATTCACCTACATAAAAACTTCCACATTTACAGCTCAGGGACATTGATGACATTTTTTATGTTGTACCACAATTATTACTATCCTTTTCCAAACTATTCCACCACTATTAGCATAACAGAAAGAAGGCTGGGCAATCTACTTCCGTAGTGATACTGCCTCGGAAACTCATGGAGGGGTCGCTATGAGTCGGGCCTGGGTCCGACTCCAAGGCACACAACAACAACATTAGCATAAACTCAATGCCCCGCAAACAAAAGCCTCCCTTTTTCCCCTCCCTCCTACCCCTGGCAACCACTAATAATCTTTGGTGTCTCTCTCTATATATATATCTATATTTGTTTTGTTTTTCAACCTATCTAGGAAATTTTACTTCCTTCCCATCCCTGGTAACCAACAAAGAAAATTGCCTTCCATGTATAAACCTTTCCTTGACTTTTTACAATAGAGGACTAATACAATATTTGTTGTGATTGACTTACTTCACTCAGCATAATGTCCTTTAAGTTCATCCACGTTATGCGATATACACACTTACTTTTTGAGGTGGCAATTCCAGTTCTTTGAATTTACCATGAAGATACACCTCGGATAACAATAATAATAAAATACATGTTTTGTTTGTTTTTTTCCCCCAGTATTGTTTGTAATTGAAAAACATTGGAAATAACCAAATGTTCAAACAGGAGAGTGGTTAAATAAAACTATGGAACAGCCACAAAATGGGATACTCTGCAGTGACACACACACACACACACACACACACACACGGGAGGGGTACAGGGGAGGGGAGAGAATGAGACAGAGATGTTTACTAACTGATGTGGAGCATTTTCCAGGAAATATTATCAAATGAAAAATGCAGAAGTGCAAAAGAGTAGTATGCTACCTTTCTTGTGGGCAAAATAAGAAAATATATATGTATCTGCTAATTTGTGCAAAATGAAACAACAGATTGGATAAGGCAGAAATAAAATAGATTGGTACTTCAAGAAGGATGGGGAGAGGGAATAAAATACAATACAAATAGAAACAAATGAACTTAACTGTATTTCAAATGAATCACCCATCCTCCTTAAAGAAATAAAGAATTAACCTAAGTAATTCTTAAACAAAGATATTGATTACTATCAGATTAAAGACAAAAAGAATTGCACCAGATATTGAAGTTGTAATCAACCCAAAAAACCAAACTCACTGCCATCAAGTCGACTCCGACTCATAGCGACCCCCATTGGGTTTTCCAGGCTGTAACTCTTTAATGAAGTTGTAACAGACTTGTTAAACACATTATGATTATCGACCACCATGAGGCTAAACACAAAAGGAACTGTAAAAGCTCTTGGCCTTAGCACCATTTTGTTAGAAGCCTCCAAACCATGAGAGCCAAATGTAGGAAGAAATGAATGCGCAGGCTGAAGTGCAAAAGAAAGATAAGGCAGAGGTCCAAGTAAACCCTAGCACGTGCACCCAAGGAAGCCTTAGTAGCAGGAATATGGAGTGCCGGAGGCTGGGAATGCTGGTTCAAGTTGTTGACTGCTTGCTACTGTCTAGCATTTCTATCTCAATCCCTTTTGATCCTTTGCCCTGAACCTGTATCATCCTGGACTAGTTAGTTCTGTTTTCAGTTATGGCTGAGTGTAACAGGTGCACAATAAATCATCTCTTCTGCTGTTAGCTGAAGTATCAAAAATAAATAAATAAAGGCGTGGATGGCACTGTAACAGAACATTGAATTCTAGTTGGTAGATTTGTATCGTCCCAGTCTTATTATGGGTTAGCATTTCTGAAGTTACTTAATGTGTATTCTAAGATTACACAAATAAATAAAATTATGGTGGATAATGAGAGCTATACTTATTTCTTTGGAAAAGTGATTTACAAATATGGAAAGAGAAAACTAAAATGAACTTTGTGCTGTTGGGTTGAAATAGCAGTTATTAACATGAACTCAAGTT